CCTCGCGTAGAAAAAGTATTAAATATGTCGAAATTGCTGTCAATCATTTCATACGAATGGAAAGTAAACTAAACAAGTGTGCACACAAGTATCATGATGATAAATGCCAAATAACACAACAGAAATACTTAAAAAGGAATGTTACTTTTGTCCAAGCTGGAAAATGTCAACATGCGGTCAAAACTTCCTCTTCCATGTGCGCATGCGCAAAATCGAAGTTGCAGGCTCTTCGTTTTTTAGGCAGTTTTAGCGATTTAAAGTTGCCGTTTTTACTGTTTTCATAGCGAGGTATTATGTTTATGTTGCTATTTCCACGACAACTGTGGGCTTTTCTCTGTTTATCTGCACAGTGGCAAAGTTTTCTTTGGTAGGCCTGAGCCATGCTACCTTCAACTGGCATCACTTCAGTTCTCCCTGTTACTATACAGAAGTACTTGCCAAGTCTGAGTCATCACTACATAGCTGAGATACTGTCAGTGTGACATTAAATTTTAAAGTCCCTGAAAACATATAATTTTGACAGAAACATATAAATCTACCTAAATCAAAATGGTGTGACGGTAGATTCAGAGGCAAATCTAGACTTGCTTCATTTCGATCTTACCCATTACAAAAAGGACTGGCCAGAAGGAAAACAAAATTGGTTCGATGAATGCAAGACAGGCTATATGAAGATGGTACTTAACAGCTGTTTTTGCGGATTCCTCTTCAAATAACGTGTGGTAAAAATTAGAATATTACACTCACTTCAACTTGATATCAAGTTAAAGTTCCTCGTAAAAGCTTGGAAGATTATTTCACTTTGGACATGAAAATGACATTAAATAGAAGCTCACAAAATATCCAATTAATTCTTCTCACATATGGTCATATTTTGGGATTCAATTTACCAAATTATTTTCAAGCACAACATTGAATCCAGGATTCAACTTTTCATAGCTATTGCTCCTCCTATTAATTTGCTTTTAATGTGCACATTTTTATTTAAAAGAAGCTCTAAACCCCAAACCTAATTGTGAAAAGTATATTCGATATTCTCTGAGAGTGACGATAATAAAATATTTTAAAAAATGGAACAACATTATCCTGATTTTACAGTGAAATTTAATAATGATACAATTATAATCTTGTTTTATGATAATTTGTTGCCTTAAATGAGGATTGAGAAAGAACTTTTAATGATGACCATCAACCAGGGATAGCAATATTTGCCTAGCTGTCATTAGTAATTACCTAGCTCATAATTTTAAACATAATGTGTAGACTGGGATGGGGTTAGTACTCCCATCAAGGAGGGGGTCACACCATCATGGTGGCAGCCTAGGGCTCCCTCAATCAAAAGGTGTAGACAGTGGAGGAGTGAGTACCCCTAGCAAGGAGGGGGTCACACTATAAGTCACAGCCTAGGACCCTCTCAATCATAATTTGTACACTGGGAAGGGGTTAGTACCCCTAGCAAGGAGGGGGTCCAACCATCATGGTGGCAGCCTAGGGCTCCCTCAATCAAAAGGTGTAGACTGGGATGGAGTGAGTGCCCCTAGCAAGGAGGGGGTCACAATATCACAGTGGCAGCCTTGGGCTCCCTCAATAAGAACGTGTAGACAGAGAGTTGGTACTGGAAGCATTGAGAGGGGTCAAATGATCATGGTGACAGACTGACTGACTGACTGGGTTTAGTTTTACGCCGCTTTTAGCAATATTCCAGCAATATCACAGCGGGGGACACCAGAAATGGGCTTCACACATTGTGCCCATGTGGGGAATCGAACCCGGGTCTTCGGCGTGACGAACGCTTTAACCACTAGGCTACCCCACCGCCCGATCATGGTGGCAGCCTTAGTCATAATGTGTAGACTGGGAAGGGCTTAGTGCTTCCAGCAAGCAGAGAGTGACACAATCCTGGAGGCAGCCTAGGGACTTCCTCAGTGATAATTTATCCAACTGACAGTCCTATAACTTCTATAGCCAAAGAAAACCAGGATTCAAACCCATGACAACAGCCTCCTGGCATGCCCAAGGGATGCAACTCTGCACAGAGAATTTGCTCACCTCAGACAAATGGGACACCCATGCCTGGAAGCATCTTTAAGAGTTACATGAACCACAATGATAGTCCCAGCCACTGCCTCTACTTCAGGCCTGACTATCAGTGATTAAAGATGCAGTTCACTACAGAAGCACGACCTGCCAGGATGCAAGGACACCTGTACACATGGATACAGAGGCAGACAGATAGGAACAAGAGGGTCTGCCATAAAACAAATTTTACGGACCATCTATTCAGGTCACGCCTTGGTGGCCATAGAAGATGTACACGGAGCAGACAGGAGACAGAGCTGAGAGGGTCTGCTCGTAATGCAAATTTCACAGGCCATAGCCAAGGGGAAACTTGGATCAGAATCAATTCACCTGCTAAAAAAACCCGGTATTCTCTCCAGCAGTTTGCAATATGCCACAATCTCCAAACGCCGCTGGCTGTGTTATGAGAGGAGAAACCACTTGTTAGAGAGAGCAGCAGCCGCAGCAGGTATACACCTGAGATCTGGCATCACACATGGGACCAGTCTAGCAGGGATTAGGGATCCACACACCACTGGTCCATTGTAATAATGTAGATGGGTATTGAGGGGGCCTGGCAAGTACACACAAGTTCATCACATTCCCCCATCCATCTGCCACATCTTGTCACTTCAGGAGCAAATGGAGTAATCTATTGGACAACAACCAACAGAAATAGAAAGAATTGTTTGGAATGTATGTTTAGTTGCTGGGGTGGAGCTGGGCCTGTGTTTGTTCCGTGGGCCAGGATTGAGCAGATAATGGTTATGGTTCGAACAAGATGTTCGTGTATATACATAGGCATTGGTAGATATCATCTGGGAATAAAAGCTTCCAGCATTCCACTCAGGACATATATTTAGGAATTTGTACACTTGTAACAGGAAGAGATTGCTTCCCATCAAGTCCTCACACAGTGGATATAAGCCCTGTTGGCAAAATATCATGTCAGTACGTCCATGATTCATTGTTTGTTGTTTAAAGCCAGACTCAAGAATATAAAAACTATGTTATTCTTTGATGTGGTGGAATTGGGTTAAACGTCGTGCTTGAGAATATTTCGCTCATATGACGACATGCATGCGTGTGTATGTGTATGTGCGGTTGCTTGTACTAGCCCAGACTTAAGCGGGTTTTATAGTGCTAGCCCACTGAGATACCATGCCGCAGTGAAGCATGAATACCCCACTCAGACACATTATACTGACTCCGAGCCGACCAGTCCTTGTTGTACCCATTAATGCCGAGCGACAGGCAGGGACCAACAAGTACCATATATTAACGTCTTTTGGTATGATGCGGTCGGGGATCGAACCGCGACCTTCTGCTCTCCGGGCGGACGCTCTAACCACTACACCACGGAGGCGGTCTTGTTATTCTTTGAATACACAATGCCATTTAGAAAGTGGTCAAATGTAACACGTTATATTTGGGATTACACTGTCTCAGTAAAGTACAGATTCTGTACTTTTGTTGGGTTGAGTCCCATCCGGGAATCGAACCCACATCCCAAAAGTCAGGCACTGAATTACCAGCACACAAATTAAGATATCTATGTTATGCTTGTCTGTGAATAATTGATTCTGGGCCAGACAATCCTAGTGACTGATATCATGAGCATTGATCTGCAATTGGGATACGATATCGATGTCATCCATCAACCAAGTCAGTGAGCCTAACCCCCCTTAGTCCAGACATTCACGATACATTTGACTGAAACTGACAATACAGACAATTGAAGAAAAGGGGGCTGATTGTTGTTCTGGTTACATTAGGTCCATTAGCAGTTGATGCTTGTAAAGCATGAAATGGATGGAATAGGAAAGCTTGAAGAACTGCTTTATTGCATGTCATTGTACCCGATGTTATGAAATGTTGCTCATTATATCCATCACTGGTTTGTCTGGTCCAAACTTATTTCGGACTGTGTCAAATATTTGAAATATTGCTGTGAGTGGCATGAGCAAACAAAAACAAGGTGGACCAAACCGTTTAGTGAGGGTCTGCATTATGAGCAATTGCCTACTATAAGTGACATTATTTAATTTAGTCTGTAATAGAAGGGTTTGATTCCCAACTATTGGCTGTGATAATGGATTCTGATCTTATATACTACTTGTAGGGCACATAGTTTCAGGTCTGATCATATATACTACTTGTTGGACACATAGTTTCAGGTCTGATCATATATACTACTTGTTGGACACATAGTTTCAGGTCTGATCATATATACTACTTGTTGGACACATAGTTTCAGGTCTGATCATATATACTACTTGTTGGACACATAGTTTCAGGTCTGATCATATATACTACTTGTTGGACACATAGTTTCAGGTCTGATCATATATACTACTTGTTGGACACATAGTTTCAGGTCTGATCATATATATACTACTTGTTGGACACATAGTTTCAGGTCTGATCATATATACTACTTGTTGGACACATAGTTTCAGGTCTGATCATATATACTACTTGTTGGACACATAGTTTCAGGTCTGATCATATATACTACTTGTAGGGCACATAGTTACAGGTCTGATCATATATACTACTTGTTGGACACATAGTTTCAGGTCTGATCATATATACTACTTGTTGGACACATAGTTTCAGGTCTGATCATATATACTACTTGGACACATAGTTTCAGGTCTGATCATATATACTACTTGTTGGACACATAGTTTCAGGTCTGATCATATATACTACTTGTTGGACACATAGTTTCAGGTCTGATCATATATACTACTTGTTGGACACATAGTTTCAGGTCTGATCATATATACTACTTGTTGGACACATAGTTTCAGGTCTGATCATATATACTACTTGTTGGACACATAGTTTCAGGGTTCAGTCAAACAGGATCTGTATTTTTTTCTTTATACTTCAGCTTATCAAGGTGGATCAAGCTTGTCATAGGTATTTTCCACTTTGATGAAGTGAGTGAGTGAGTTTAGTTTATGCCGCACTCAACAATATTCCAGCTATATGGCAGCAGTCTGTAAAAATCGAGTCTGGACCAGACAATCCAGTGATCAGCAGCATGAGCATTGATCTGTGCAACTGGGAACCGATGACATGTGTCAACCAAGTCAGAGAGCCTGACCACCCGATCCCGTTAGTCGCCTCTTACGACAAGCATGGGTTACTGAAGATCAATATTCTAACCCGGACCTTCATGGGTACCACTTTGATGAAATGAATAAGAATGGGTATAAAGCTGACAAACCACAGATTTGAGATCTGAATCACAATCAACAAGATGTCCCTTCATGGCAGTCTTTGAGTCATGTGCACACCGTTACAACAAGGAAGCTGAGACAAGCCCACACCATGAACACTATGCAACTAACACTTAAGGAAGCTGAGACACAGTATTCCTAGAACTCACCAAGTGACCTGTTGCTTCATCATAAGCCCCAAACAGTACCTATGAACTCACACTTACTGAACTTATCTGTTGCTTCATCATAACCAAACAGTATTCTATGAACTCACCCGCACTTTAGCATCTGATCTGTTGCTTCATCATAACCAAACAGTATTCTATGAACTCACCCGCACTTTGGGCACGACTCTTCGCATACAGTCAGCATGGTTGTCCTGAAGCAGGTCGGGCAGGTTGGTGATCACGCTGATACGCTGAACCTCTTGGCCAGAGCTGGAACACAGGAACACATGGTTAGGTCAACCTGACAAACATCACATTAAATAAACACTGGCCCTCAATACAGTGAGTGAGTGAGTTTAGCCACCGCACTCCAGCAATATTCCAGCTATATGGCAGGTCTGTAAATAATCGAGTCTGACCAGACAATCCAGTGATCAACAGCATGAGCATCGATCTGAATTGGGAACCGATGACATGTGTCAACCAATCCAGCGAGCCTGACCAGATACCCATACGACAAGCGTGGGTTACTGAAGGTTCATTCTAACCTGGACCTTCACGGGTCCTCAATGTACATGAACACCATGGTCATCTGTATGAAGAGACCATGGTCATCTGACTGTCAGTCCGATAAATACCAAACAGATTTTATCAGGGACCCTAGTCTGTCAAACAGACCCTGAAACAAATATATCCAAGAAACCCCATGCAAGTCTAGAATATGTGGCAAGTCTGAAAATGAAGAAAGTCTCTGAGCTCCTTTTCGTAATATCTTATAATTATTATGTATGAACCATTTTTTTCTGTAAAATATGTTCATTTCAGAGACTAGATGTTAGTCTACAGGGACCCCTGAAACTGTCTTATCGAGGTACATCACTGTTTGAAACACTGTTGGTCAATAAAAAGAAGCCAGAAGCCAAGATGAAGTTATCTATCTATCATTCTCCCAATGCAGTGCCTTCAAATCAGAACTTTACAAATTAAACTCTCTGGTATCCTTCATTCAGTCATCATCTAACCTGTGTCTCTAAGAAGTCAGCCTTGGGAATGCAAAATGTAATCAACTAAATGAAATCTCAGCTCAATATAAAAATGAAAACAAATTACCAGACACAAGGATCCTGTATGTTTGTAGCCGCATGGGAAATTAGGAAACATGTCAGACAGAGCTTATTTCTCGATTCCCTCCTAACATCATCATAATGGTCAATAACAAAAACCTACTTGAAGCAAAACGAGTGACCTGGTATGGTAACAGGATGTCGTAATGGTACAGCTTCACTGACTATTCTCCATCTTCCTGTATACAGGTTCCAGCTACAGATTCTGTCACCGTATCTTACTGTAGCTTCTCCAGTGTACACACATGTAAGTCTTTTCTAATCTTAGTCAAGATGTTGTGACGCAAGTAGAAAAACTATTATTTTTAAAGACAAGAGAAAAAGTCCTGACAATAACGATTTTTTAAAGTTTCCACTTTCTATCAAGTCCCAGTACTAATACCAGCAATACACTTAGGCAACTTGGTTGCTCAACTGTTTCCACGTTCAACAGTACTTTCAGGAACTTGCTCGTTCAGCTGATACTTGCTGTGTTAGAGAGGATTGTGTAATGTCGCCTTTAGCAATATTCCAGCAATATTCCAGGAATATCACAGCAGGGACCCCAGAAATGGACATTGTACCCATGAGGGGAATCAAACCTGTGCAAACACTTTAACCACTAGACTACCTCACTGCCCTAATTTCCATGATGGTCATTCGAATAATAAGAAAAGAGTATGTTTTCGAAGCAATCAGTACCCAACACACACATAATAATTATGTAGAACAAAAGTATGTTTTGTGTCAACTTAAAAGTGAGGGAGTGAGTATGGTTTTATGCTGCTTTTAGCAATATTCCAGCAATATCACGGCGGGGGACATAAGAAATGGGTTTCACACATTGTACCCATCAAAACAGCAAAATCTCTTGACTTATTCAAATCTTCATTGAAGACCCATCTTTTCAGGAAATATTACGAATGACTTGTACAATTGCTGCAGTTTTTTAGCTGTACACACGGGGCGCCATGAGCATACACTAGTGTGTGGAAACAGCGCCATACAAATGGACATTATTATTATTATTATTATATTATGTGGGGAATCGAACCCGGGTCTTCAGCGTGACAAACAGACACTTTAACCATTAGGCTACCAAATCGCCCCATTAACTTAACAACAATCTCCCTATAACACCTCACATCATCAACTCAGGATGTGGTCACAGCAACATCCTTTTTACGAAATATTCCAGACTTTACTTCACAAACAACACAAACATTTTAACGCCATCAACTATGAATAATGAGTCAGCAGGCAAGACTTGAAGAAAATAATAATGTGATGGAAATTAATTATTTCTTCTGACAAATGTGATTTATCCCAGTTCTTGTCAGAGGAAGTCATTACATCAGCCTCAGTAGCAATAAACACGACAGGTACGCTAATAAGGAGACAATCTGGTGTTCATCCATCACACAATTCTCAGCTTTCAGCAAATATTGCATCTTTTGTCACAGAGACTATTTCCTGTTCAACTCATATGATGAGACAACTCATTACTTAATGTCTAATGTTTTTAGACTGACTGAGTATGGTTTTACGCCGTTTTTAGCAATATTCCAGCAATATCACGGCAGGGGACACCAGAAATGGGCTTCACAAATTGTACCCATGTGGGGAATCGAACCCGGGCCTTCGACGTGATGAGCAAACGCCTTAACCACTAGGCTACCCCACCGCCCCTAATGTTTTTAGAAGTTATATGTTGAATAATAAATTCTAAACCTATTGAGGTTATAATGTATAACATGTTCTTTAGTTTTCTTGTTATGCTTCGCTCAGAGATATTCCTGCTAGATGATGTCTGCCTGCAAGTATTTGAGCCTGAAGAAGATTATCCAGTGATTGATATTATGAGCACTAATCCACAATACCCAGCAACCAACTAATCACCAAGCCTGTCCAACCCATTCGTTTTGGATGCCTTAACAGTATAGGTTACTGAGCGCCCATTCTAAACCACATTGTAAATGTAACCAACTTTAGATAAAACAAAAGTATCATTTTTCACAATTTAGACCATTGCAGAAAGATTTAAAAATAGAATATATTTTAAATTTTTCTTGGACATTTTAAAAAAACAAATCAAAGAAATTCAGCACTAAAGTTGTAAAGCTATTTTCATTAGAGTGTATTTTTTATTTTTTTTTATTTACTATTCATTCGTTAGAACACTTGCTATGATATCAGAAATTTAGAAAATGCAAAAGTTGGTAAAAAACAGTCCATGAAAATGCCATTATGAGTTAGTTGTGACCATCAGTGAAATGCCTTGGACGTGAAGTTGATCAGCAGGAAGCCAAGACACTTAAGTGGCACACACATGTGCCACAGGTTAAAGAACTTTAACTTTCAATATGGAAAGTGATCCGAAGCCGGGGCTTATTGAATCATCTTTGATCTTCCACTTATTGACGTCTTCAAAGATTACCAGCCTCAATAACCCACATCATTTTCATTGCGAATGTGATGAGACTAGAGCTGCCTAACGAAGTCTAATGAAGGAGCTGCCACCATCATGTTGGAGAGATGGACTGCTTCCTGGAGAGCAAAACACTCCAGCAGCAGCCAGGAGATCCTTGGGGACCTGTACAGCATCCATGGGCATCCCCTGTGTTACCTCTAATGAGATTGGTCTAGTCACAGCCTCAAGGACCAATACCAGCATCAGTCTACAGGACTAGAACACATATGCTACAGACATAATAATGCAGACATTACAGTGCTGTTACATTTATCTCAGAAATTCATGAATTTTTAAAGAATGGGTCCTGTGGAACATCCAAACAAGGTTTTTTCTATCAGTGGTATTTGAAAGGCCAGGAACATGACAGACCATCGAATATCAGTAGACCCTAGATCATGTATAGTCGCAACAGATAAAGTTCAGACAGCATCAGCAGACCCTAGATCATGTATAGCCACCATAGATAAAGTTCAGACAGCATCAGGAGACCCTAGATCAGTGTGCTAGTCACCATAGATAAAGTTCAGACAGTATTAGCAGACCCTAGATCATGTATAGTCCCAACAGATACAGTTCAGACAGCATCAGCAGACCCTAGATCATGTATAGTCTCAACAGTTAAAGTTCAGAGAGCATCAGGAGACCCCAGATCATGTATAGTCGCAACAGATAAAGTTCAGACAGCATCAGCAGACCCTAGATCATGTATAGTCCCAACAGATAAAAGTTCAGACAGCATAAGCAGACCCTACATCATGTATAGTCTCAACAGATAAAGTTCAGACAGCATCAGCAGACCCTAGATCATGTATAGTCACTATAGATAAAGTTCAGACAGCATCAGCAGACCCTAGATCATGTATAGTCACTATAGATAAAGTTCAGACAACATCAGCAGACCCTACATCATGCAGACCCTAGATCATAGTCACCATAGATAAGTTCAGACAGCATCAGCAGACCCTAGATCATGTATAGTCACTATAGACAGATAAAGTTCAGACTAAGCATCAGCAGACCCTAGATCATGCATAGTCACTATAGATGAAGTTCAGACAACATCAGCAGAGTCCAAGATCAGCAGACCCTAGATCATGTATAGTCAGGTTATATCTATAGATGAAGTTCAGACAGCATCAGCAGACCCTAGATCATGTATAGTCGCAACAGATAAAAGTTCAGACAGCATAAGCAGACCCTACATCATGTATAGTCACTATAGATAAAGTTCAGACAACATCAGCAGACCCTAGATCATGCATAGTCACTATAGATAAGTTCAGACAACATCAGCAGACCCTAGATCATGCATAGTCACTATAGATAAGTTCAGACAACATCAGCAGACCCTACATCATGCATAGTCACTATAGATAAGTTCAGACAACATCAGCAGACCCTAGATCAGGTATAGTCACTATAGATAAGTTCAGACAACATCAGCAGACCCTAGATCATGTATAGTCACCTATAGATGAAGTTCAGACAGCATCAGCAGACCCTACATCATGCATAGTCACTATAGATAAGTTCAGACAACATCAGCAGACCCTACATCATGCATAGTCACTATAGATAAGTTCAGACAACATCAGCAGACCCTACATCATGCATAGTCACTATAGATAAGTTCAGAGTTCAGACAGCATCAGCAGACCCTATCATCATGCATAGTCACTATAGATAAGTTCAGACAACATCAGCAGACCCTACATCATGCATAGTCACTATAGATAAGTTCAGACAACATCAGCAGACCCTAGATCATGTATAGTCACTATAGATGAAGTTCAGACAACATCAGCAGACCCTAGATCATGTATAGTCACTATAGATGAAGTTCAGACAACATCAGCAGACCCTAGATCATGTATAGTCACCATAGATGAAGTTCAGACAGCATCAGCAGACCCAAGATCATGTATAGCCACCATAGATGAAGTTCAGACTGCATCAGCAGACCCAAGATCATGTATAGCCACCATAGATGAAGTTCAGACAGCATCAGCAGACCCAAGATCAGGTATAGTCCCAATAAAGTTCAGACAGTCAATATCAGCACACCTTCATTTCTCGCATGTTAAAAGCTGACTATGCTCTGTAATAATTGTGCCAGTAGGGATTCAGGAGAATTATATCTCTCTTTTCTAAAAAATAACTAATAGGTTCAGAAAGAAGGAAACCAGTAAAAACACAAATAGAAAATAACTCTCCAGTTGTACTGACGTCAGTGGATCCATAGCAGACAAAGATATCTCCCATATGACAAATAACTCAGGTTCAGTCGAAGGAAACCAGCATAGCGCACTTAACAGAACTCCATGTGAAAAATTATAAAGTTGGTTCAGTTACAAAGGGTGAGTGAGTGAGTGAGTAAGTTTAATTTTACACCGCACCTGGCAATATTCCAGCTATATGGCGGCAGTCTGTTTATAATCAAGTCTGGACCAGACAATCCAGTGACCAACAGCATGAGCATCGATCTACGTAATTGGGATATGATGACATGTGTCAACCAAGTCAGCGAGCCTGACCACCCAATTCTGTTAGTAGCCTTTTACGACAAGCATGGGTTACTAAAAGATCAATTCTAACCCGGATCTTCACAGGTCCAGTTACAAAGGAGTATAGTAGACCAACATCTTTTCCATGTAAAAAATATTCTACATTCACTTGGAAAGAAGTAAGTAAACTTAACCAACATCTTTCATGTAAACAGTATCTGAGTAGGTTTGGTTATCATGGCATCAGTATAGTAGACGAACAACTCTCAGGTGACTTCTTTGATTGGCATTCCAGAAGGTGAGGAGATGAAGAATGAGGACAATTCGTATATTTTAGAATCTATGTTGAAACGTTGCGTACCAATTATGCATTTAAAATGTTAGATATGCAAAAGTTTAAAACAAACGCGTACGGAATATATTTATAAAAATCGCTTGCGTAATGAAAAAGACATCGATTGCTATCAAGTTGTACTGTTAGTATAGGACAAGTGTTGTATTGTCAGTATAGGATGAGTGATTTTTTATGAAATCATTTCCATTATATTTAAGTTGGTTTTGATTAGGTATGACATAAGGCAGAACATACCTGCTTAGTAAACTTACTCAATGACGTAATAGTTAGGTGAGTAAAATGACTGAAATACACTCATATTTGAAAGCAGTGGGTAACGGAAAATGAAATACCCACTAACCATTCATAATACCCACCCAAAATACAGTGGGTACCGTACCCACATGAGCTAAATCTTATCTGGAGCTCTGTCAATCTAACTCTCAGGTTAAAAAATAATATAGGTTCAGTTGGAAATAAATAGGTGAAACATTTCTCATGTATAGAATGCCTTATTAGGTTTAGTTAGAATAGAAGAATAACATCTCTCACAAATAAACAGCAATTACTTATATATAGTAAAGTTCCGTCAGCATGGCGCCAATACAGACAGGCAACCAGTCAGCAGACCTTCCCATCTAGTGTTTACACCAACAACTGAGGGTCAGTGAATCTGACAAAGGCCAGTTTACAAGACCCAGCCTCTGTTACAGATGTAGGGTTCAGCAGACCTGTACATCTCTCATATACCACATCAACATATCCGGTATTTACACAAGTAGCCAAGATGCAGGCCAGCGGCTGAGGAGAAATGACTCCACTCCCACTCCCACCAGAAACCCTATTGATTGCGTTAGCCTACTGCACAAGCGGCCAGTTCCTGAAAGGGTTTTAAACAGTTGGCTTCATTCTGGACAATTCTCTTGACGCTGGAATTAAATCAATAACCTTGGCCTGAAAAGTGCATTTTAAATTATGAGTTATGGCTGCAACAGAGGGAGTAATGTTGTGGCCGAAGATGATTTCGAATTCAGCTAACAGGATTTATTCTGATCCAATCGCCATGCCAACATGGTGTTGTGCAGTATCTTAAACTCCTGGTCGAACACGTCACAGACGAAAAAGAAATTGCTGATAATAAATATAGACTTGTCACTTTCGTCGATAACACATCAGATACGCAGGTCTTCCAGACAAAGGGGCAACACATGTGCTAGATAGAATCGTAGAAATAATTTGGTTGTACATTATCTTTGATAAGATAAGATATGATACGACTTTATTATCCTTCAGGAAATTGGCTTTGCTTCTATCAAATAAAACATGATTATCCGCACACCACAAGATGCTTTCCTACATAGCAAATGCTGCTTTGACATAAGACATATCTAATTAAAGTGGTCATAATTATTTCCCTCATACAAAATCACAGCAGTCCATGGCCTTAAGCTTCTACTGCTTTTACTTAGTTTAATAAAATGTCCATCAAGCTTTCAATTAAAAGTCTGTACATTTACACTGAGAGGTGAGGTGTTTAATGTTGTACTTAAGCCTATTTCTCACATATGACGACGTGCATGCGTGTGTATGTGTGGCTGCTTGTACAAGCCTAGTCTGTCATACAGACCCTGAGGCAAATATATCCAAGAAAGCCCATGCAAGTCTAGAAAACGTGCCAAGTCTAGATTTCCACAGCTTCAGGGAAGTCTCTGGGCTCCTTTTTATTGTATTCATAATTCTAATTTAAAAACTTTTATTTTCTGTAAAATATGTTCATTTTCAGAGACTAACTGTTAGTCTAGTACTAGCCCAGACTTAAGCTGTTTTTATAGTGCTAGCTCACTTAGATACCATGCCGCAGTGAAGCATGAATACCCCACTCAGACACATTATACTGACTCCGAGCTGACCAGTCCTTGTTGTACCCATTTATGCCGAGCACCAGGCAGGGACCAACAAGTACCATATTTTAAGGTCTTTTGGTAAGATGCGGCCGGAGATTGAACCCGTGACCTTCCACTCTCCGGGCGGACGCTCTAAGGACTACACCACAGGGGCAGTGTATTTACACTAACTCTGACAAAACTAAAGTCACATGACTTGTCCTGGCTAGTAGGCTAAAAATGTTTCACAGAGACTGGCGTTTAAGATGAGCATGAAGGTTTAGATGAAACCAAGGAAAACTGGCAATATTATGATTACTGACTGTTGACTGACTGACTGACTGACTGAGTTTGGTTTCACGCCGCTTTTAGCAATATTCCAGCAACATCACGGTGGGGGACACCACAAATGGGCTTCACACATTGTACCCATGTTGGGATTCGAACCCGGGTCTTCGGCGTGACGAGCCAACGCTTTAACCATTAGGCTACCCCACCGCCCCCTGACTGTTGACACAAAAGATCAAAACAAACACATCCAATAGACATCAGCATTCCTCTCAGTTCAACTGTTTGCAGTAAAGCCATTATTTTAAACATGTTGAATCACGGCACATTTCTACCAGTGTCAGAAGTAATGGGAGACGGAAAAACACAAAGTTTGATCATTATTGGCAATGGAAACTTTTTCAGTGAAATATTTTTTCTGGGGAACTTGATTAACTCTGGCAAAATAAAAGTATCACAAGGTCATCACTGGAAAAGCCTGTATGCTGACCATTCCATACTAAACCAAGGTTGTCAATGGGTAGAAGCTTCAAAGGCAAGAGGCACAACGCCTGATATAATCAACTTTGACCCATCAATATGGAATAAATGAGCATAATGAATGACTTTTTCCTAATTTCCAAAGAAAAAGAGGGTCCGCAATCTATGATAAAAACATGTACATAACAACAGAAATAACCTTTTCAAACTTGATGTTTTCAAAATCACTCAAGAACATCTTTAAATTCTAATTATTTTCCAAAGATTTTGATTTTACAGAAATTTCAAATGAAGGATTTGCCTCTCAACATACGAAACAATGGACACTTAATAAGTTCAGATTCACAAAGCAACAATCAATCTGTTTTCTAATCTCTCTTTGTCAGCTGGCTAAGTCGGTCTGAAGTGGGACGAGTCAAAGTTAGCCCCACGGACACAGTCAGACAGATGGTTGTCCAATCTAGTCTCACTAGGGTTAATTACAAGCTATTAACTCTAACCATGTTTGGAACACAAGTGGCCCTCTTCAAATGCTTGCTGTTTCAGTGAAGTCCAGTTCATATTGACCTATTTGTGGATGGAACAAGAAGTAGGCTGACACAGTGGCTAACAAATCCTAGGCACTTGTTCAATCAACTGATTCTACAGATTAGCAGTTGAGAGAGAAACTGATGGGGAGCCAGCTTCAGCACCAGACCAGTTGTAACCCTCTTGGACTGAGCTAGTGTCTTAATTAACAGCATTTGGGACATGGAGTAATTCTCTAAGAACTTGACTCCAGGAAGTAATTCACATTTCAGGATATGATTAAGCATCTGTTGATGTAAAGTAACTTTAATTAATTTTCTAGTGATATTTCCTTCCTTGACATTCATGAACTGAAGAAAAATTCCATAATCAATTTTTGAATATTCAGATGTGTCATTAAAGAGTTCCGAAACATTAGATGCTCAGCAAGCAAGTCTCAGAATTAATGACTTGCTGTTAGACCAGTATCAGAAATTTTCTGCATAATTGCTTTGGTTGTGACGTTGTGCAATGGGGTCAGCTTGCTGCTGTGGATCGATCAATATCCATGTTACTATTAGGAGGCTCAAGGGACTCACGGTTTTTTTAAAAAGTGATAATATGCACAAAATTTTACGTTTCCTGATAGTATGTCGTATTATGGGTGGCACTTATCTTAATGAACCTGCCCTCCCCCACTCATAAAGAATGACTGATCCATATAATTTTTTAAGGCTTTTTCAAGGCCTTTCATGGATGTCAGCTGTCATTTTCAGCTGGGTTTTAGCCTCAGTATGTCAGTATTCTAGTATTACTCAACCATACTATACTACTGACTGACTGAGTTTGGTTTTACGCCGCTTTTAGCAATATTCCAGCAATATCACGGCGGGGGACACCAGAAATGGGCTTCACTCATTGTACCCATGTGGGAATTCGAACCCTGGTCTTCGGCGTGAAGAGCCAACGCTTTAACCACTAGACTGTCCCACCGCCCCCATACTATACTACAACAAGCCGTAACGACTATCACACATTTTGAAGGATTCACTTTCACACCTAACCTAAAAAATAAAGTTTATCATGAATTCTTGATGATCTTTGGCACACAAATCTTTCACTATGATAAATCTGCCTTAAACAACCTTGGCACATGTGCTTTGTGTGTGTGTGTGTGCTTTCACACTTTTACTAACAAGCACATGTTATTCTGTACAAATTCAAGACTTTTAGAGCTTGTTTGGTGATTTTCAAGGCTTTTCAAGGTTGACACTAATATTAGGGATTTTCAGGTGGACCTCAAATTCAAGGCCATTTCAAGCCAGTATGAACTGAGAGCTGGCTGGTCACTCCTCCCTGGAGAGATGGAACAAGGTCATGACATGACAGGTATCATGATACATAGGTCACAGTACCATGATACAAATGTTCATGTCAAATTTCATGGAAGTTGCTTGACTCTAAATATTTCAGAGCAGGTTCCAAAGAAAAAAGCTAGCTGGTCCCATGGTCACAATGGGTGTTTTTAGCAGAAACCATGAAATGTTGATCATAATTCACATGATTCATTGATCACAATTCATTAACCAACATCTGACTGAGAAAATATGGGATGGGGAATGTCATCAAACAGTAAAAATTTAGCGACTATATCATCTTGTATCAGTACAGAAAAATTAAGCTTCTATCATGTATGGTATCATTACATGAAAACTCATGATGCACCATTTCACCCCTAATTCCAAGACAACCGGTATTACACGAATCTCCAACACACTCCACATAACCCGACCTCCCCATCATCTCACTAATCTCGGGCACCATTACCTCACTGACAAATTGCTTCATTACAGATAAACCTTATCAAGTTGACTCCAACATTTGTGCCCCAGTGAAATTGCCCATTTTATCTTCAGTGTCTCTTGGAACATGTGGCAGCCTGGCCTGACAGCGGGAGACTTGGACTTGCCTCACTGGCTTGTGATTACTATACTACAGCATGGGTGCACTGAGAGACTCTCTACAAGTAGTCTCACTAAATTGCATGATTCTCACTTCAGCCTTTTGTGCAATACTAAAACCTCAAATGAAGCAATATCTAGATTTTTTCAGTTCAGCCAACTGGGGCTCCATTTCAATTTCAATTTAGTTATTTGGTTCTATCAACATATACTACAGCTTGGATGTACTGAGAGACTCTCTAAAAGTAGTACATCTCAGTCACTGAATCACATGATTCTCACTTCAGCCTTTTGTTTAATCCAAAAGCCCTAAATGAAGCAAATCTAGATATTCTTCAGGTTCAGCCACTGGGGCTCCATTCCAATTTAAATTTAGTTAATTGGTTCTATCAACATATACTACAGCTTGGCTTTACTCAGAAACTCTCAACAAGATGTCCATCCACAGTCACTGAATCTCACGTCAGCCTTTTGTGCAAAGGTAAATCCTCAAATGAACCTAATCTAGATTTTCTTCAGGTTCAGCCAACTGGGGCTCCATTTCAATTTAAATGAAGTTATTTGGTTCTATAAACATTATATATTTTCAGAGACTAACCATTAGTCTTCTCAGTACAAGCAGCTCACCAAAGTAACATGTCTCCTTAGGCTGCACATGGCACACTCAGAAAAAAATAAATTGAAAATGTCTTGATGTCCAAAGGGTATATTGATGAAAGTCAGCTGGATGTCTATGGATCGATCAACGTCCATGATACTGTCTGGAGGCCAAGGGACTTATACTGCTCTTTCTTTTTAAAAATATTATGAGAATATGAACCCAGTTTCACCTGTGCTGGTGTGTAGTTTGTGTCTCTATGTGTGGTTGGTTCCAGATTCAAGCTGAAGCCGACCGCCTCTGTGGTGTAGTGGTTAGAGCGTCCGCCCGGAGAGCGGAAGGTCGCAGGTTCGATCCCCGACCGCGTCAAACCAAAAGACGTTAAAATATGGTACTTGTTGGTCCCTGCCTGGCGCTCGGCATTAATGGGTACAACAAGGACTGGTCGGCTCGGGAGTCAGTATACTGTGTCTGAGTGGGGTATTCATGCTTCACTGCGGCATGGTATCTCAGTGAGCTAGCACTATAAAACCAGCTTAAGTCTGGGCTAGTACAAGCAGCCGCACATACACATACACACGCATGCACGTCGTCATATGAGCAAAATATTCTCAAGCACGACGTTAAACCCAATTTCACCTCACCTCACCTCAAGCTGAAGCCAAAACATCTACAAGTACTCTCATGTACATTTCAGTTACTGCTTCAAGAGTGTGATGTAAAAAAATGAGAATATGAACCAAATTTCACCTATCCTGAAATGTAGCTTGTGTCTCTATGAGTGTTGAGTTCCAAATTTCAAGCTGAAGCCAAAATATCTACAAGTACTCCCATGTGCATCTCAATTAAAATTTCAAGAGTGTGAGGTAAAAATAAATATGAATCAAATTTTA